GGACCGTGATCTCACCGTGACGTGACCGATACTGTGAATTGACCTCGGAATTGACCTTTAGCCAGTGCACTATTAACTGGGGGTGCAGAAGTGAATGTTGAAGTAAACGTTCCAATGGACATATCCTTAGCTACCCAAATGTACGCGTTTTTGCATTTTTTTAATTGTTTATCAACATTACAAATTACGGTGGTTCGTTTTGAAATAAAAGTCCTCTATTTGCTCTTTTCTGAATCCACTTTTTCAATGAAAACTAACAGTCAGATAATGAATGAGCTAAGCGTACCATGGGTACTATGAAGTACATCTATAATCGGATTTATGGCTCAGTGGTAAGAGCATTGGGTTATAAATCCGGAGGTCGGGTGTTCGAACCTGGGTTGAGGTGAATTTTTCATCTGGGGCGGAGATGGAAATTACCTTAGACCAGTTCCGAGCATTCTACCGGCTACTCCGAATTAGGTTTTCCTGCAGTTTTCCTAATTCGTAAGGTAAATACAGGAGTAGTATAGACCAACTTAAGACCTTCTGCAGAGGCACCTCTAAATAGCATTATGCGGGTCACTCTGTAATTGGGCGCATGCCTGTTGAGGGCCCAAAACAAAAGAGGGATAATAAAATAAAATAAAATATACTAGGTGGACCAGTGATTCCTCCATCCATACCATAATATGTACTTTAAAAAAAGCGTAACAATTTCCATCCATCCACAACAGCTCTAAAATAATTAAATAAGTTGGGAAACTACACAATTTAGTACCCTATTAAGTAAAATACGGTTTGTCGCATGGTTCTAAAATACTTACTTACGTAGGAAAAGTAGGTACATGTTGTCGCTTAAATAAAACAGTACACACAAGTTATAACATTTAATTGGAACACTTTACATCTATTCCCGTAGATGCAGTCGACAATAACGTGTTTTTTAGTTCCACATCTACGCACCAGAGTGCTACTACAGAATACACATACGAGTATATGCATCTAAAACTACATGAACAGTACAACGTCTATCTCTCTATCCTAAAGGATGAAGGTAGTGCGACTTGTTCTTTTCCCAACTAAATTGGTGCATAAATATACTTGGTCACACTTAGTTACTTCAAATATACTGACCAAGATCGCAAAAGCACAACGTTTAGTACAGCTCATTAATGCACTTCGACTTATTGTGGACACCTGGGAAGTTTGTGTAAATTGATGAGTGGACCATATGCGTTTGATTATCTCTTCACCTTTATTACTTTATTAGGATTATCAAGAAGTATATGTACTTTTACTTAATTTACGTAATTTAGTACTAATATATTACTATAATTAGCATAAATAAAGTTGATTTTATTTATTAGAATTGCAAGCGAACTCAAAATAATTCTGAGGTAAACCCACGCGCAAAACTATAATGAATCAGAGCGGGAGAGGGAGAGGGAGAGGGAGAGGGAGAGGAGAGGGAGAGGAGAGGGAGAGGAAGGGAGAGAGAGGAGGGGAGGAGAGGAGAGGGAGGGAGAGGAGAGGAGAGGGAGAGGAGAGGAGAGGGAGAGGACGAGGAGAGAGAGAGGAAGGGAGAGGGGAAGGAGGAGAGGGAGAGGGAGAGGGAGAGGGAGAGGAGAGGAGAGAGAGGAAGGGAGAGGAGAGGAGAGGGAGAGGGAGAGAGAAGGAGAGGAGGGAGAGGGAGAGGAGAGGGAGAGGGAGAGGGAGAGGGAGAGGGAGAGGGAGAGCGCATTTGATTTTTTACTATATGCGATGTGTTTGCCTTTGCTAATGACATGTGACGGAGTTTTCGATTTTTACTACATGTGAAATTTACTAGAAGTGGTTAAAATTTCAAAGTAAATCTTTTCATAAATAAGAAAGTTGCGTTACCGAATGCAAAAAAGTACGAAGTGAATATCTTGAAAACTGTAGGAGTAGTTGAGGCCTCGGACAGGCGGAGAGACGAACGGGCAGAGAAAGTGGCTGCAATAGCGCACATATCTTCGTTGGAAAATGCGCTAAAAATGTGGTGGCTTGAAACAATAAAATTTTGGAGGAAAATCGTTAAAACGATACTGTAAGATACATCAACGCCTACGACCACGCGTTAGAGGCAATTTACCTATCTAAAATTTAAGGGCAGTAATTTCCCGAGAAGATGGAAATTAACCCATTGAATATCAAAGTTCGATGTATATTAATTGTTACGGAAACCTTCATGCACATTGACGATTATATCTAAATTTGGTTCATTGTAATGGAAAAGTTAGAAACACTTGTGGAAGTATAAATTTAGTACAGCGAATTTTTCAGATTAAAAACATGGACATTTGAAAGCAAACCAATCTATAAATAAATACGCATTGTAATCAAATAACGTCTTTAATTTGTGCGATTTAAGTTCTGGGGGGTACCTACAGTATGTGGACTGCACTACCGATGTGAAGAAGTTCTTTTCGCATTATGCATGTGTTTTTTTTTATAATCAAATTATAACGTTTTTTGTAAACTGGCGTGTTATGTCACAATAATTATCTAGCTTAACTTTAGATTTTTATTCATATGCTCTTGGCTCTTGTATAAATTCATAAATACTGTAAAATGCCCTCTTTTGTAAGGAACACTTGGCTAGTTTTTTAAATTGTTCTATACCACTTGTCGTAATTAAATAAATTAGTTCGCATATAATAGGGAGAGTTTTCAAAGGAAGCATGGCAATCCTTCATCGGCATAATCTTGTGCTTTTCGGTTGTATCGTGGCTATGTACGTTGATATACGATTTTTTTAGCACTCTTGATAAACTACAATAAACGCTTTTCGTACAGAACTGTGTTGCTAGGAATCGTTGGTATTTCCCTCATAAGGTTAGGTAGCTGAAAAACATCGCTCTGAAGGGTTCAGTCCTCCCTAAATGTTTTTCCATGATGAACTTGTATTTCTTTAGACGTTCTATACAAACTCGATAACTCTGGAGTGCGCTGCTTCGGCATCATTTGGCATTTCTCCGTTTTATCCGTTTTCGAAGGGTAAAGTGCCAAAATACATTTCCGTCAGAACCCGATTTCAGGAAAAACCAGTTTTAACTACTTATCTGCTTTAGACAATTCTAGTTTTACCTATACCTAGTGAAAACTAGAATTGTCTGATAATTTTAATTAAAACAAGAAATCTCTAACGGATATTATTGAATATGATACAGCAGTGTGCAAAACGCCGCAACAGGTGTCATTACACTATTATACATATGCAAGAAGACTTGTAATACTAATAGATATATGCTTCTGTAAAAAGAAAGGCAAACTATGTAGTTCTAAATGCCATGGCAGCCAGTCCTATAGGAACAAATAGTTTTACTTTCATACACGTTTTTTGTACCACGGCGCTTTGATTTTAGTATTGAATTTTTTTCAAAATAGGTATAGAACGGTGACACTATATACACAATTTGCTATTGAAGATATATTGACAATTTTAAATTTTCAAATTTAATTTTGCTTTTTGTTAAGTAATTGTTTTCTATTCAGAAAAACAGCTTTTGTGTTGATTCAGATATGTGGAGTTAAAACTTAATAGCCACATAATGAAATAAAATTAATGAAAAATAATCCCAGGTAGGTATTAAAATTTCGAAAATTCGGCAATTAAAATGCAACTATATTACATTATAGGTATTTATAATAGTACCTACCTATTTACAAAATTTCTGAAAGATTTTAAAACATGTATTTACGGGCATTTTTAATTTACTATAACGACAACCCCAGCATTTTGGGGTCAGGATCTAAAAATGTGATTAATCAAACGGTTTATTAGACCGATAATTTTTTCGCGACACAAAATGTAGACAACTAAAGCGAGTTCCCAATATTAGCCCGACGAAAGTTCGTAGAACGTCTAAAGAATTGATTGCAATAATTTTTCCGAGTAGAACAAACTGGTATAAACGAACAGTCTTAATTTCTACCCAGTCAGTGTTCGTCTAATTTCAGGGACGCAGAGAAAATTAGGCATGCAGGTTTTGGCGTTCGGACAAGGAAGTGTCTCTCCAACTCGCTTGTACAATAAGTAAGTAGGTAATTATTTCCAGTTTGCCGTTCTCTAAAAATTAGGATTAATTTATTTCGTCTTAGCTTATCTGCTCGAGAAGAATTTTCAGCGATTACGTCGTATGGTTTATCCAGTTTTTTGGGATATGAATAAATCACAAACAGTGGATTTGAGGTTTTAGTGTTTAAACAAAGAGTTATTGTGCTTTGACGCCTGCATGCAGTGCTATAAAAGCTTCCTTAAAACAAAATTGATCGTTTTCTGAATTTGATTCAAAGGGTAAGTAGCTAGATTTTCATCTACACTTCAAATTTGGAAATCCCAGTGAAATTTTGTGCTACGTATTTCTGTAAACATTTATACTGTAAATGATGAATGCGTTTTTCATTGTTTGATAAAAACGTGAAAGTGGAGAAAGAACTTGCTCTATTGAAACATATTTACGCAAACGATTGCATTTTTAATTATCGCAAATTAAAACATAAATAAAATTGCTTTTTAGTATAACTGATTTGCAATTTTTAAGTACAGACTGATTAGTATTTTTTATAGCATTAAAATTAAAAGTAAATTTAATGGTGCATACAATATTAATTTCAATCAAAATGTGATCGCAAGCATATAGAATAATAAAAGCAATGTATGTTATGGACCATATCATTACGTACATGAATTAATTAGGCATGGGTAAAGTACAAGATATTTCTTCAGAAACGTTTACCATTTGAAATGATAACGTCAAATTCAGTGTGGGTTGTTAATTTTTCGCATGAAGTACCTATACTTACACAATTCGCTTATACCTATACTTACTTTAAAAACTTACGATTTTAGATGATCTAATCCGAACAATACAAATCTTCCATGTAATTAGTTCTCACTGCTAATTGATGTAGCTTCCCATTTCTTGAATACTTACCACAGTTATTGCAATCGATTGGCATAGGTTGGGTGTCAATAATAAAAGAACGATTTTACATAAGATTTAGATTTTTTATTGTGACTGATCAAGTGAGATTTTAAATCTGAGCACAACCACTTATTACATTGAACTTGTTTAGTTATATTAACGACTGAATTTTCGACATGTACAAATAAATTAGGGATGTTTTCGTGATAATAATTTACAATATCCATGTATTCAAATATCACATTCATAATAAAACAGCCTCATGAGTTGTGTAAAGAATTTCAATAAATTTGATAAGGTAACATCTAATTAGGATATAAAAATAGCTATAAAGTGCATTATGGGGGGATAGTATAAGAACGTGACCGTTTCGGGTACACGGCAACAACAAACATTATACAACAGCCGGGGATAATCAACAATTTTGTTTTAAAAGGTAAATTCAATAGTATTCGTTATGCTATTTACATAGTTAACATTATTACACTATTTACAATTTATGTTCACATTCGTTATAGTTCTTTATGACTATATAGTTAGGCCTATATTTGTACGCTTTATTTTTATAGTGGAAAGCACCACCAACTTGAAAAAATATCTCATACTCAATTGCATGTTACCTATCGAAAACAATGCACCTTTTTAAATGGCTAGTTTCTAACAATACTATTACACTTTCTGCACGTAATACAGCCGAGCAAATGAGCGAATACCACGCTCTCCACGTTGGTAACTATAATATTTCAAAGAGATAATATATAATTTGAGCTTGAATTTCCAGATTGATTTATTTAGGGTTGTTCAAGACACTTCAGTTAAGGCAAGTTTCCACTAAAACATCATATATAACAGCTTGAAACAACAATAACAACAGGTACAAGCCATAGCAAACATTTTTCCAGTAAGACAAACAGATAGATACTGAATTTTTGGATATCAATATAGTTAACATTTAACAGTCTTAAGAAAAAAACATATTTTGATTCCATTTAAACTTTTAAAACACAAAAGTATTTGTCCATTTCTAATTTTTGACGCATATAAAATCGTCCCTACAATAAATTTTCGTGTGCGTTATTAATAGATAATCACTTACTTTCATATTGACTTTTGCAGAAACGATTGACATTCTCCCGGGAACATACAACCTAACTAGCCAACAACATATTACAAAAAAAAACAAAATTACGGAATGTATAAGTAGTTAAAGTGTTATTTGGCAACAAGTCATCATAAGTTTTAGAAATATATTATTAATAATTAAAGCCATTTTGTTAACTTGTCTTTGTTTAGAATAACGTTAAAAATAATTAACTCACATGTCTACGACACCATTAGATAAACTATAAAAAATTACAACAAAATATTGAAAAATTTATAAAAATAGATTTGTTAACTATGTGTTAACCGTAGAATTTATATTTATATCGTCATGGCAGCGTAGAACACGTCGTGTCGTCGGATTAATCTAACCCTTTTTGCACGTCTTTATGGTACAATTGTATGATATAACAAACACAAATGGCACACAACACAGACGGGGTGGGCATTCGGCCAGTGGAGATCAGTAATTCAGGTTGCATGTTGTGCAAAATCTATTCTATTCGAACGTATAGTAGCCGAGCATTACCGTTGCCGAGATCACAGTCGTCGCGTATAAAGAGAACACAATCGCCGGCGGCCAGCTCGGCGGTAGGCAATTCTCACAGAGTTGTCGTTACCACAGGCAAATTAAGTGCTTCCTCACTCGTCACAGTGTGCGACGTGTGCATGTGCTGTGATGGATGGTGCGCACTTGAAGGATGCTGATGTGGATGCAGATGGTGATGATGATGTGGTTGTTGTTGCTGGGAAGTACTACTCTGTTGAGATCCACTGGATGCACCTAGCTTATTCTCTTTTTTCATTCGTTGCTTGAGGTGCACCTTGGCGTGTCTCTTTTTCTCATCGCTGCGCGCGAACTTTCGCCCGCAAACGTCGCACGAAAACGGTTTCTCGCCCGTATGAGTTCTTATATGAGTGGTGAGATGATCGGATCGCGAAAACGATCGCATACATATTCGACACTGAAATGGTTTTTGTCCCGTATGAATGCGAATATGTCGTGTTAGCTCGTCCGATCTCGAAAACCGCCTGTCGCAATTTTCAACTGGGCAAGCGTAAGGTCTTTCGTGCACGGGAGTTTTACTAGGACGATTAGGATATTTTCGAGGCTTTACCGGTACTAATTTAAGAGGAACTGGCGATTGTTGATACACTTGTGAAAGTATCTCGTGTCCTTTACTCGTCGATGGATTGTACTCCGCTAATTGCACATTGTAACCCGCACCACTACCTTGTCCCACTTCACCCGAACAACTCGCACTAAACGGTTCTTGTTTTGGCACTAAGCTCGACGGACCCGGAACTACTAACGCACTAGAACTTTGAGGGTTGCTATAGTCTTGACTGTCCCACTGATATTTCGCAGTATTCGCCACCAACGGTTGTCCCACTCTGGTATACACTAAATCTTGTTGCTGCATTTCCATTTGGAGGCCGGCGGAAGCCGCAGAGCAACTCGAATACGAAGGGGGTTGCTTTAGGGCAAGATTTGTACATTCCATGCTAAGCATCAGCTCCGCCTGAGATCTATCATCGTATTGCGTACCTGCGGGACTCGGCGTCGCCGACGGATACTGCTGCTGCGGGGACTGCGAATTTCCGTGCCCAAGAAGGCCGAAAACTGCCGGATAGAGTGGCTTATCTTGGGTTGAAAGCAGCCATGGATTAACAGCCGACGGTGACTGAGCCAATCCCCCCTGGCTATTGAGTCCCAGAGGACTGCCGCTGGTTTGCATTCCAGATAGGCTCGGACTCGACGCCGTCGAATATGCGGGCCGATGCTGCATTTTTGCGCCTGCATTACTCGTTGATAATGAAGGACCGGCAGCTGCCGAGTACATACTGAGCGTACTGTGATTGGTGGCTTCTTCGTCTCGGATGCCAGGGCTAAGAGTACTTGCTTGCGGCGATACACTTTCCTTTAAATGTGTACTATTGGGCGAATGACGCGGGCTGCTGGATTGGTGCTCTAAGGATAGCTCTTCCGGATCCAGAGAACCTGTAACGTGCAGTAGACTATTTAGTCCCAAATTCTTAAAGGGGGTAGAAAAAGCACGGGAAAGCTTGAGCTAAAGCTTAAGCGAAAGTAAAAAAGCGAATTACATCTGTCCCAGTTTAGGGGTACAAAATGTAAGAATAAGTTTATGCGTTTTCAAGCAGCAATGTCAAATATCGATTTGCAGTTTGTTAGGTGTTTGTAGTAAAATGTTATCAATTGGGATTTATCTGAATGGGTGGCATATTGATCGGCGACTTTTCGGCGCCGGCGTCGTGTAATAACACGTGAGTCTGGAAGGCGCCGCGGCGCGTCGTTGTGTTGATCAAACCTATACGTCAACACTTGTTGCCTTAAACACGAAATTAACAGATTTACGTTTCTATTTTCGTGCTTGCAATTAGAATTGAGCTAGGATAGGTCACGCATCAGTTTTAATAATTGTTCTGGGGTGAGCATGGCGCATTCTACGCGGTGCGGAGCTTGGTATTTCGTATAAATTTAGATCTGAATACATATCACGCGTGCCCGTTCGTCTTTCCTACACCTGTTATTAATAAATTTGGCGCGCGTTTTAATTTGAGAAATTCAAAATGATGACGATTTATTAGGGGTTTATGAGTAATAAAGGAACTCACCTGTAATAGGTGGTGGTTCAACAACTGTAGAGGGTCCGAAGAAGGACGGTATATCTCCGGAAGTGGTAACCGGGGTGTTGAGATCGCCGGTCTGGAGTTCGGAGGATGCACACTCGAGGTCGGTGGCCGAGTAGGCCGCTGCCGGCACCGGGCTGCTGCCGGTTTCGACAGTGGAGCTGACGCTCTTGTAGAGACAGGTATCGAAACTTAAAACGTTGAAGTGGTGAGCTGCAGCTGCAGCCGCCGATTCAGTCAACAAGAAGGCGGATGCGTGATGGTGGTGCTGTGCGGGCAGCGTATCCAGCCCGTCCATGATCATGGTGGCCGGCGGGTTGGAGAGGCTTGCCGCTGGCCCGCCTACCACAGAACAAACAGGGCTTTTAGCGCCGGCACGCACTCCACTAGCGTACTGCTCGTCACCGTTCGTTTCGAGAAAAAAATATTTACAACTCGCGTCCTGGCGAGGATCACAACAAGGGCAAGGGTGCGCGCACTAGGAGGTCGATAAGACGGCAGCTTAATCGTGGTCAAGGACTATCGATTAAAAACGGAACTTCCTACCACAACAGCTACTCACAAACTGGTCGCGAGGAGAACGCGACTTTACTTTTATGAATGGAGCATCTGTTCCATATTTGGAAGTCGCAATAAAGGGTTGCGGCCAATAGAATTGGGAGGCCGCAGATCCCCCTCCATCGCGATCCCCACTGTTACAGCAATGTAACTTGACGTCGCGGTGACGTAATACGGCGCTTAGATATACATGCAAACAACTGCTTAAATTTTAAACCCATCTCCGCATATAGTTCACCCTAAAGCTTTCATAACCACTTTTAAGACTCAAACCGAATTAAAATTGACCTTTTACATAGAAAAATCGTATAATTATCGACTTACAAGCACTAATTAACCACCCCGTGCAAACAATCCAAGTTCTCGGAAGTAAACAGTAAAAACCTGTAGCTTTTAGGGTAAATGCCACCTCAATAACGGGGTGAAGACTCCCTATTCGCGTATTATCACGACGCATTCAAGTCGAATTTAATTGCAATGACAGTTCAAAAGTTACAACCCTATAAGAAATACCAAATAAACTTCATCAGCCTTACAGTCTTTAAAAGCTTCGCAAAGAATGCGTGACGCTCAATATTGCAAATTTAAAACACGCATCATGAGCAAAATAATAAAGCGTACTATTTTTGAAAAAACATCTGTTGCCACACATTAAAAATAACAACGATCCTTAGAATCATGGCCCAAAATACATATCAGCTGGCATCGACTTCTGGTCTGAGTCAGACGCCAAATACAACCACCAACACTAAGAGATTTCCCATGACGTTGACGCATCCCTATTATATAACAATTTATAGTAGATATTGGCACATTTTAAACCAATGAACGATTCAAGTGCGGAATAACAATCGATATTTCTCCGCGGTAATTTTATGTTGTGAAGGGTGCCCCAGTAAAATCGAAGCTTTCGCGTAGTGACGTCAATTCATTCATGATTTTCAACCCCTCCAGGCAGTATGGCGCCGACAACGATTTCATCCCCACCTTCAGCAACCCTCTTCCCCTAAAACATACTACGCGCGAAGATGGTCTCCTGTTACTACACTTCCGGAGTAAAATCAAACTGTAGTTTACTTGCGTAAATTAGGTATCTCCAGCGAACCCGAATTAAACATAATCACGGAACTTACCAACCTATCGTTACTTGTTTAAAATGTGCGAAACTATGCACAGAAAGCTTAAGCACGGTTTACAAATTCGAAACATTTCGTCCGATAGGATTTAGAAGGTGTTGTAAAATCTATCAAAAAACGTTAATTTAATTTACAACTTCCTTGTGTAATCGCATCATTCGATTACTACCTACTTCATTCAGAAAGAAGTTCTCAATGAAACCTTGCTGCAAGCAGCGCGGTATACCCCACGTTCTTACTAAAGACATACAATCAAATGCATTGAAATCAGTATCCTTTTAGCAATTTAAATTAATTTGTAACGTGAAAAAGTCCTCTAGTCTTGATTATATTGATTACCTTGTACTTTCAATTTCGGGTTATTACATTCAAAAATCGAGTGTGTGCATGAACGTTGAATTACAACTAAACTTGCATAAGTAAGTGCATGTGTCCAGTTATAAATGAAGTGACGTATCCTAGAGCGTTGGAGCTTTGAATAAATTGAGTGGGTTTTTAAGGTTGATGTGGTGTAAAGTCGAATATAAAAGTATGTACAGTATTATTATGTAAGTAAAACCGTATAAGGTGATACTAAAATAGGCAATAATTATATCGGATCTGTGGGCGTCAAAATGATTGGTGTGGTGCTGCAATTTTGAGATTAATTTGGAAGCCACTAAAATTCTAAGTTAGCAGGGACAATCGTGGCATCTGCCTTAAATTAGGTAAATGTGTGTAAACGAAACAGGTTAGAACTTCCATATTAGTAAATTTGTGCGTAAATGCCATTAAAACAACATCATTAACAAGAAAAGCGAGTCGGACATATAATGCAACATTTTACATGCAGCACTCCATTAAGAAACACACCTGCGGACGTAGAAGGGCCGGCAAACCACATCGCCACCAAATCATCCACGCTGGTGGCCGGCGCTGTGTGATGTTGGTGTCCGTAGCCACCATGGTAATAGTGTGGCGTGGAATAAGTTTCCAGCATCCTCGTACGATTGTCTATCGCTGGCGGCGTTGGGGCTTCACTTCTTCTTCCTCGAGTCTGTCCTCCATTCGAAGGAGAATCGAGCAACAACTGTTGCACTTGAGAAATATCCACAAATTCGTCACCACCTGTTGCATTATCCCGAGTTCGTTGGCGAGTGTAGGCGTCACCCTTCAAGTCGTCGTCTTCCCTTCGCATCATAAGTGTTAACATGTTGACGGCGTCGGGCACCGGAGTGTGCCTCCGCTGCCATGCCGCAATTCACTACTGGAAAACTCGCGCACTCTGGAAACACTGACGGGATCTGAATGAGCGCCGGACATGAATGTTCTACAGGTACTCAAACGCCAACACCCAACGCCTCTGCTGCATATCCTAGGTGACGTAACGCGCGTCGTCATGGATCGCCCGACGCGTGGGCCCTGCACTAGAGGATTCGGACCCAGGTTGCGGTATCGCACACTATGCTCCGTTTATGCTGGTGGCCGTCCTCGAACCCTGCGCCCCCCACTAATCGAATTTATTTATTTTTGCATCGGAATACCAATTCTATCCACGACTGCCTTCCGTCTCTCTTCCGACACAAACGGGATAAATGCCGATGTCCTCATTCCGGGATCGTTTAAATCACAATAATCACGTCTTGGCACATGACTCCTGTACGTCATTTGGAATGGGGCAATCAACTCCCAGAAAGGTATCAATTAGACGAAGTAACGTTGTAGCTGTGATGTCACTATTGACTCGTGCCGCATGAGACTGCTTCTATTTTTGCCATAGAATCTAGAATATAATCCAACTTTTGCCAAGTAATAAACAGAACTATTTCAGTAACTATAATCATTTACGAACTATGCGACTAACAGAAATATTTAAAAATACTTAAAATTAGTCTTAAAGGCTTATAAGGCGCTCATACAATTTGAAAATTCCGTACGTCCTTATTTACCTCGCTATTTTTAACGCTCTAACGTTAAAAATACTGGGCAAATGTGCAATATCCAACTGAATTCTTTTCTGTGCATTTTATGAATTGCAATTTCCCGCAGCAAAGATTCTTATGCAACTCTTGAGAAGCACCCTTCAAAATCAACCAATCTGTCAACATGATCGTGTCTATCTAATCGTAGGATTAAAGTCGACTGAAATAGCTTATAATTAGATGCAGTAGGTTATTTCGAGTGCATTTTTAAAGGAGTGGGCGAATTGTCTCATACTCTTTTTAAAACATAAATATACACATTAAGACGTTTTGAGACCGAGAAAAAAATTTACTATCTAGGTATTAGGTACCTACTTTGTTCATTTGCTGTAATATTCTTTTTTATTGTTACGGCCTTCGGTTTTTGATAAAATTTACGAAATCCACAATTAATAACATCGACAGTGATTGCATTGCCCGTGAAAAATACGTTTATTCCTACATTATTCCCGAATTCCCATTTTTAAATAATTAATGCATGTGAAGAAGGTGTCCTGATAAAAATAAGGTGCGTAAAGTTCGTTTTCATAATTAGTTAAAATAGTTATCACGAAGTGGATGATAATACCGCAGATTAACCGAGGATAATACGAACATCTCATTTGCTGGGAAATACATGTTTGTCGGTGATCGCGTGAAGTGCTGGGAGTACTCGTAATTGCATTATTCCTTTTATCGGTGCAAGGTGTCGCAACTAAAATTGCAACCTCCGCTCAAGTTTTGAATTGAGATCCATAACATAGAGAGTATAATTTTGCGGTATCTGTCCGTCTGTCCGCTAGCACGATATCTCGGAAACGAATGAACCGATTACGATTTTTAGCGCCTTGACGTCATACAACTTTTTTCAAATAGCAACGCAAAGATTTTATTAAACTATTCGAAAAACTTTTTTTTGCTGTGCACAATCTACAAAAAAATTTGTAGTCGAGTAAAATTAGAGTTCAACCTAGAACAAATTCGGGACAAGCAAGCGATGCCCGAAATTAGTAGTACCAATAATGCTCTTTAACATACTAAAAGTCCCCATATCTCCGAGGTGTGGAACATCCTGAAAATTGAGCCGCCATCTTGGATTTTCATGTTTTTTGCTAATAGCTTTGTTATTATTATTTTTTTCGGAAAAAGTCAGGAAAGGGAATTTGTGAAGCTTTAAAATACAAATCCAATGCTTCTTCATTTCTCGAAATCGATTGAAAACTAAGGGAGTTATATTGTATCAATAATCGCACTATACACGAATAACTTCGCGAATAATTCGATTTATCCGATAGGCGAAATTCATTGGAACTTTATAGACCAAAGAGTCAAAGACTAATTATTCTTTATCGATTCAACAATTTTCAATCCAAATTTTAGTTTACCGCCCCCTCCTGGGGCAATATTTTCAAATAACTACCGAATGGATGAGCTTCTCAAACAAGGAGAAGCATTTATATTGAAGTGGTACGGTGCCAAAAAACGCAAAACGCTCGATGACTACCGGTACATCAAGTACAACCAAGTCGTGGCAAGGCAGAATCTCTTTACCAATTTCGAGCTAGCAACATTACCTCCTACATCGCATGCTGCTAGATTCCATTTGAGACGGGTGTATCTACAGGTCCAGAATTGGATGGGTGAGGAATTGAACCCTAAAGACTGGCTGGTTTACGAATCAAAACAATGTCTTGGAGCCCGTAAGAATGGAAAAACCCTGTGGACCGGATCTCATTTTGAAAATGATGTTTTGCGGTTGCAAAGAAACGTGTTCTAATGCTTGTAGCTGTAGGAAGTCGAGGCTCAAATGCACTGCATGTTGCAGGAATTGTACTGGCAATTTTTGCGGCAACAGCTTAGACCCAGAAAGTGATGATGCTGAACCTTTACCCTAAATTGTCCATTGCAAATATATATACGTTAATCATGTTCAGTTTTTAATTAGTTTAGATCAACTATACCAGAAAAGGGGGATGAAGCGAGGGCAGATGGGCGGGGAGGGGTGTGAGGGCAGGATGGGGGAAGTAAGGGCAGGGGGGGGGGTATACACATATCTTTGCTCATGTGGGGGAGGGGAGAGTGTTGCTTTGGTCTATAAAGTTCCAATGAATTTCGCATATCGGATAAATCGAATTATTCGCGGTTATTCGTGTATAGTGCGATTATTGATACAATAAAAAAATCATAACTCCCTTAGTTTCCAATCGATTTCGAGAAATAAAGAAGCATTGGATTCGTATTTTAAAGCTTCACAAATTCCCTTTCCTAACCTTTTCCGAAAACAATAATAATAACAAAGTTATTAGCGAAAAACGTGAAAATCCAAGATGGCGGCTCAATTTTCAGGATGTTCCGCACCTCGGACATATGGGGACTTTTAGTATGTTGAAGAGTATTATTGGTACTACTAATTTCGGACATTGGTTGCTTGTCCCGAATTTGTTCTAGGTTTGAGCAAATATTACTCTAATTTTACTCGACTATTGCTACAGGTTTTATTACAAAAAAAAACGCAACAAAAAATGTTTTAAAGTTAAAAAACAAAAAATTGTTTTTGCCAAAATCATTAATTTGATTGAAAGTAAAAAAAGCGCCTGAAGTCGTAACAACGTGGGGCCCGACATACAGGGTGATTCCTATAGTACCTGCCACCGTTTGGGAGCGTGTAGGTGGTGCGTAGGGGAGTATTTTGATATAGGACACTTGGGGTCGGAAATCTAAAATAAGGGTTCCAGAGCCAAATTTACCTTCTGGAATTTCGCGCCTGTAGGTAGGCAACCCAACCGGCCGGCGGTGCACACGGAGCGATCTCAGGCGGCGATGTGTGGCTGACACTTGATCAGAATTTGTTTAAACCCACGAAATCCCGTCTGCAACGACGCGTATCAAGTGAATAAACACTATGGCAATAGTATAATAATAGTTGGCTAGATGTAGGAAGTGCATTGAGAACAACGGGGGCCACGTTGAACACTTGTAAACGTTATTGCTTTTGACTGTCGTTTTCCCTCCTTCCCTCCCATGTCGCTTCCTCGCGCTAACTCGCTCTGCATCGCTCCGCGCGAAACGGCGGTCGGTTGGGTTGCCTACATACAGGCGTGAAATT